GGAGGGGAGTGAAGGGGAGCGGATGGAAGAGGACAGAGCGAAGGCTGACGAAGGATCCGCTGTCGTCCCGTCCCCCCCAAGCAGGCGCGAACCAGCAATCAGCGACGACTGCCCAGCACGCAGGGCCGATCTGGCCCCCGCGTCGGGGAGTGCGAGTTGGAAAGCCAGGAGGGCCTCTCTCCCTTCCCTGTTCCATTTCCCCCGCCCTTTCTCTCCACTTGTTCTTCCCCATAGTTCTTGCCATCTCCCACCCCCCCTCCTCATGCCCTTTCTTTTCGCATCCCCCGTGCATCTTGGAGCCGTCTGGGGGTCGGAGGTGACCCAGCATTGGTTCCGGCCAGTAGGAATCGGGAGCAGGTTCGAAGTTCTGGGTTCGGGAAGGTTTCTTGTTTTTGTTCGGCATCGGGGGGCCGTTCCCTGGGCCCCGAGATCGAAAAACAGACCCAGGGTGAACATCTGCACCAGTTGGACCCGGGAGGGGTCGGGGGACCGATTTTGAGCGGATTTGGCGTCATCTCGAGCGACGCAATCTATACATATATATATATATATATATATATATATATGTATATCCATTTCTCCTTGGCCAGGCCCGTCCTGAACCCAGGAGCTGTGTGTACGCCCTCCTGGCCAAGCCAGGAGGGCGTGGCGTATACACCGCTGCCGGGTTCAGCATGGGCCTGGCCAGGGAGCAGTGGATGTGTGTAAACTTCGTCGCCCTATCATTCCCAACCACTTCAGACCCCCTGGCCGCCTCCAGCATGCATTTCCGCTGCCTGCCTCTTCCCGTGGTCTTGCCATCCGTCTCTCCATCGTCCCTCACCCGTGCCGTCGCGCTCTTCTTCTACGAATGCACAGTGCTGTTTTGCACCAGCCGCCCCTCCTTGCTGCATGCCTCCCGACGCATTGTGAGCATGCTGACCACCATGCGCCGCATTTCTGGTCAGCACAGCCAGACAAGCATCAGTCATGTTTGATCGCATGCTTGACCTACCCTCTCAGCGAACGTGCATGCCTGAGAGCGAACAGCACCACGCATTGCCGAGGAAGGAGGGCGACCGCGACGTTCATCAATCCAGCCCCGTGTGCAACAACCATGCTTGTGTCTCAACGCATCGCTCACATCCGCAAGACGCCACTACCGAGATGTTAAGGTGGTTGCGAGTTGAAGTTTGATGACATGGGCCTGTGTCCCAGAGATTGGATCCCGTCTCTACCAGAATATCGCATGATATGCCGTTCACACTGAAAGTGACGCCGAGGCTCCGGTGTATGCGATGGCCCAGGATTCTACATTTCGACCAGTGTATACAGCCTCTTGCCAGGCAGGCTTGCTCACTGTTGCAAGCTTGGTGGGAGACGGAGATCTGATCCAAGACGTCTACGACCCAACACGGATCAGGACGACTGGTGACACGAATCTGGAATGCCAAGGAGCCCCGGCGATCCAGGGGCCCCGCCGCGCTCCTCGAGGGGCCGTCTTGTAGGACTTCTTCCAGAGTGCGTCTCGCCTCAGCCACGCCTTGGTGCGCCATGGCTGGCAGGGGGGTGGGAATCGGGAAGCAGCAGTACAGGACGGAGTACAGTCGTGGCGCTGAGGAAGGAATCCTTTTCGTTGGGGAGGGGCTCGGTGTTCCTTGATTGTTTCAAAGTTTGCCTCGGGTTTTCCTGAGGTTTCCATGGGAAATCGAGGTTGAACTTATTGGAAAAGGGGGCCTCGTTCCTTATTTATCGTTCCTTAGGTCAACGCCCCGACGGTAGTGGGCTGTCGACCCTCGCCAGTCTTCATGCTTGTTCTCGGGAACCTGCTCGGTCCGTCGCTGGCAGTGGGCGGGTGGCGTCACGACGATACCATACACGACGCTCCCACTCCTCCCCCCCTCCTTTTCTCACCCTCTCTCAGCCCCCCTCCACCTCTTTCTCCTACTCCGTCTCTTGGTCTCCTTCTCGTTGCCCTCTCGGTGTCATTGACCCTATCCTCTTGCCTCCTCCTCCTCCTCCTGTCCCCTTTCCGCTTCTGTCCTCTCCTTTTCCTTGACCCCTGTCGGACGGAGCGCGCGCGCCAGTCCAGTGCGCCCCTGCCGGCTCTGCTGGCCTCGAGGCTCTCGTCGCCCCATGGCAGAGGCTCAGCCGCGCCGCCAACCTGTGCGGCGCGCGAAATTCTCAGCGCTCAGAGACTGCATCCCTTTCTCCACGTTGTGGTCGTCGCCGAAGAGCACACAACAGACATCTCCACTGACGTCAAGGCGGTCGTCGATGGCTTTGCCGCCATCTTCGATGGTGGGCTCCCGCCCGACGACGCTGCTTCGGCCTCAGCAGCCTTGTCTGACCTTCGAGCCGAAGAGGGCGACTCTCTCGGGGTGAGGCTCCGCATAGACGGCGGAGCGGTCGACCAGCCCTCGCATGCGTGCCTTGCCAGTGCCGACAGATTCGACCACCGCGTCCTCGGGTTGGTCTTCAGCATGGGCTCTGATGAGGCTGTGGTTGCTCGAGTCCCACC